GATTAAAAAAAATCACCTTTATTTAAAAAAACCCACATTTTTTAGTTGTTTTAGTCTCTGCCTGTGTATATCTCCAATGACAAACCGCTGCTTGTATAACTCGTAGCACTGTGTGTGGTTTTTTCCTTGTGTTCCATTGCACTGTGCTATGTTACCTGCCCAAAGCGAGGAGCTCTTCATTAAACTGCCATGTGCGGGTGTCTGCCGAGCCTGTCCTTAAGTGCCTATTTAAATAGTTCACATATCCCAAATTTTACATTTCATGAAGTGGGGGGCACTGGGCTGCTGCCTGGAATGGCATCCGCAGCGGGATCGCATGGAAAAGGGCCCAATCCGGGTGCTTCTGCTAACGGGCGCCCAGCAGCCACGTGCTCTGGATGCTCGCCCACTGCGTTTTATTTAGCAACAGCCCCTGCCCATGGAAGGGCCCCCTCGGCAGAGCGGGAGACGTGGGCAGCGAGTGGCTCCCGCAGTTTGTTGGAGCCGAACCGGGAGGATTAGAGACCTGGTGCTAAATTCACACTAATGCGTTTTTCTTGTAAGCCCCCGGCCACGTCCGAGAGAGATGTAAGCAGCGACGAGTTTTAAATATCGACCGCGAAAGATGAAGCAGCGTCGCTTGCTCCAGCCCCCGGGGCAGCGCCGGGGCTCCGTGTGTTTCGGCAGGCGCCGAGCGCAGTGCTCCCGGTTCCGCGCGGAGCCCTCGCTCGGAGCGGCGCCCGCGCTCCCCAGCGCGGGCAGGGGCAAAGCCGGCTTCAGCGGAAAGCACGCAAAGTGGCAAATTTTGAATAATAATAATAAAAAAGTCACGCATAAAGCGGCCATTGTGGTTGTGATCCCCTCTGAGCAGCAGGTTTCTATTTTTAACTTTTTCTCTCAAACGAATTAATGTTTTAGAGCCAGAAGGAACCATTGTGCTCCTTTGCTGCACGGGTCATAGGACTATGCAGCGAGACTTCCTCATCCTTACTGCTTGTGACAGTGAGTAGATGAGCACTGCTCTTAAAACGCTGTTCCTGCTCTGTGCTTTAGCCTGCTGCCCCGAAGGAAATGCTTACACAACCGCTCGCTGCGCGGGACGGGCCTCTCCGGCCTCCTCAGCCGCTCTCAGCCTGAGGGGAATTCGACGACTTTTCATTTTAGAAAACGTGCGTTTTGAACACGGAGAAAGCAGTTTTCTCCTGACTTGCGTTCCTCTGCATGCCATGCCGTTCAAAGCTAGATCCCAGCACCGCAAAGTCAGGTGACAGAAATTATGAGGAGGTCGCATATCTCGTGTGAAGGCCCGCGTAGGAAGCTGCTAGCAGGATGCCAGATAAATTTGGGGAAGGCAAATCCACTTAAAAGCATGCCGATTTCTATGCATTTAATCCCTCAAAAATGTTCTCAAAGTCTGTTATGGCTTCCCTTTTCTACTACAGATACCAACCCTGTTTCACCATCACAGCACAGTAGCCGCTGTTTCTAGGAGGAGAGAACCATAACACAAAACTGATTCCAATGCGATTGAAGCAAAGTCGAGATTTGTGGTGCTCAGATTAATTTTTAATCGAATGAGCCCATCAGTTGGCAGTTCTGCATCCCCATCTCTTGCCATGCACAGCCCACGGCAGTTTAGCAAGAGCACATTTTGCCTCCCAGCTATTCCTAAGGACGGGAGATGCAAGAGGTGACCTGGAAAGGCTGGCGTTGCCTGCTGGGCCAGTGGTTTCTCTCAGTGAGTTTTTTATCCCTACA